CATAATGTAAGATATTGTTGTTTTATAATGTAAGATAGTGTTGTTTCATAATGTAAGATAGTATTATTTCTAAACTCACATAATGTAAGATAGTGTTGTTTCTAAACTCACATAATGTAAGATATTGTTGTTTCATAATGTAAGATAGTATTATTTCTAAACTCACATAATGTAAGATATTGTTGTTTCATAATGTAAGATAGTATTATTTCTAAACTCACATAATGTAAGATATTGTTGTTTCATAATGTAAGATAGTATTGTTTCTAAACTCACATAATGTAAGACAGTATTGTTTCTAAACTCACATAATGTAAGATAATGTTGTTTCTAAACTCGCATAATGTAAGATAGTCTTGTTTCTAAACTCACATAATGTAAGATAGTAGTTTCTAAACTCAACATAATGTAAGATATTGTTGTTTCATAATGTAAGATATTGTTGTTTCATAATGTAAGATAGTGTTGTTTTATAATGTAAGATATTGTTGTTTTATAATGTAAGATAGTATTGTTGTTTCATAATGTAAGATAGTGTTGTTTCTAAACTCACATAATGTAAGATAGTGTTGTTTCGTAATGTAAGATATTGTTGTTTCATAATGTAAGATATTGTTGTTTCTAAACTCGCATAATGTAAGATAGTCTTGTTTCTAAACTCACATAATGTTCTTTTTTTTTTTCCAGGTCAGGCTACTCTCTATCCATATTTTCCTGTTCACCTCAAGTCCTTGGGAGTTCCCCTGACACAAACAGCCATCATACTTGCTGTCCAGCCTTTGATTGGTTTGTTTGTAATGCCTTTCGTTAGAGTCCTTGCTAATCGTATTGGCAACATTAGGTTACTACTTTGTTTCTTTCTGATATTTTCCGCCACCACTTGCTTAGGGCTAACATTCGTTCCAGTTGTTGAAACAAAGATGACACACGATAATTTGGATTTTAGCATGAAGTGCTCTCTTTCATCAAACTTTACCTACTTTTATCTATTAACAAATAACTCTTGTTCTATTCGAAATCCAAATTCTCTTGATCACCTGGTGTTAGAAATAAAAAACTGCTCAACAAACTGTTCATCACAAGTACAGTCTCGAAACACCATTGATTACTGTTTTGTGAACACAGAAGAAAAGTCTTGTGGAAAACTTACAGCTAATACGACACTTACCTTTGAGATTTCAAACTTAGTTGAGTCCATAAAGTTTAACAAGTTGCCTAGAAATGTTTTAATTTATATTATTAAGGGTAATATCACTCACGGTGGAGCCCAGTATCGAAATTTAATATGTGGTTCTACAAATAAATTGTTTTTGTTTGAAAGTTGCCACATTTCTTGTGACGTAAGAAGCGCTGGTAATGCCGCTACATGTGTTGGAACACAGCTTGCATCTGAGAAGAGATATTCTAGAACTTTCTGGATGTATCTCACAATTCGTTTAAGCGTATCTTTGGGAATAGGGATTTTAAATGGTCTGTTTGATGCCACATCTATAGCTGTTATAAAAGAGCTAGATGCAGATATTGGTTACCAACGTATGTGGCAGGCAGTTGCTGTATGTTCCTTTGCTCCAATCAGTGGCGGACTGGTCGACCTGCTGAGTGCAGGTAAAGACACTAAGGACTACAGTCCTTGTTTCTACCTATATGCTACACTCTACATAGCAGGAGCTTTCGTGTCTCTTTTTGTTGACTTCAGCACGAAAATATGTTCCAAGAAAGCTTGTAAAAACTTGAAGATTCTTCTTGCAAAGTCAGAAATATATGTGATCCTCTTTCACGTCTTAATTTTAGGAATATCTTGGGGCTTTCTAGAAAATTTTCTCTTCTGGTTCCTTGAGAGTGAACTGGGTTCACCTGCTTTCTTATTGGGGGTGATTTTAACTATTGGTGTTGGTACAAGTATTCCAATGACAACCTTCTCCACTTGGATAACCAAAAATATTGGTTATGTCAATGTCATTATTGTAGCTTTTGTAGCATATGCGATACGTTATATTGGATATTCGTATGCCTACAACCCGTATATTTGTCTTGTTTATGGAACACTAGAGAATTTCACTCTTACTTTATCTGCTGTTGGCATAATGCTATATTGCTATCATCTTGTTCCATCGAAGACGATAAACACAATGAAGATGCTATGGATCAGTACACATTTCATCATGGGTAAGGATACTTCACTAGATGAAATACGTTAATGTTCCCAATCTTGTTATCTTTATTAATATTCGATTAATTTCTCAAATCTAAAAAAAATGTCACCAATTATACACTAAAGTAAAATTACTTTATCTCAGAAATACTTGTTACTTTGGCCTCAAAATGAATTACTGAATTCATTCCAGACATCGAGATGAATTATCAGTACATTTTTTAATGTTGACATTAGGGAACTTATTAAACTGTTATTATGTTATGTTGACCTCAGTATGACCTGTTGTATTTATACCAAGATGATTATTCGCATCCTTCTTTTGATGAATTATTAGGTTGTCTTCAAGATGGGTTGTTGTGTCTTAAACCCTATTGATACACTCTTAGTACGGAAGACCATACAGATAAGGATACTGTAGACAAATTAAAGGAGTTAGCAGATCGAAGATTTGAATACTGTGGACAAATAAAACAAGTTGGCAGATGAAAGGTTTGAATACTGTGGACAAATAATACAAATGACAGGTACGAATACTGGAAGGCAACATAAGACAAGTTTTCATATGGGAGATTTGTGTAATTGAGAACAGCATGGGACAAGTTGTCAGACAATAGGTTTTTATACTAGAGTATATCATGGGACAAGTT